ATTGCTGAAATTATGAAAAAATAATTAAAAGGGAAAGCTATTAATATTATGGGCAAGAAAAGAAAATAATCTAAAGATGTATCGAAAATTGTGAAGTAGATAACATTACTACTTTATTCAACCGAAGCTGATGTAGATCACAGTCAGAATCAGAAGAGTGGATTTGATTGAGTATATTATAAGGATAAGGAAGAAAGACCTTTTAATTTTATTTATTGGATTTTTTTTGCAGTATTTTTTTGTTTTCTTCTTGTGATTTTCTAGGGATTTTTTTAATTTTTTATTTCAATAAAAAAGATGAAAAATAAGGGAATTCCAAATTTTAAAAAATTTCCAAGAATAATGGTGATTTGGACATAAAATCCACGTGGATAACAAGATATGATTTTGCGAATAATTAAACGTTAATAATTTTGGAAGGTTCGTACTTGTTTGAATTATTACTGGGGTTGTCAAATATGAGATGCCCCACAAGGCAAGGAAACCATTAGTTAACATGGAAGAAAGTTTAATTAAGGTGGATAATTGAAAGTTTCTCTCATAATTATGATATTAAAAAAAATGATATGAATTCATGGGGATAGAGTAAATTATTTTACGCTATTAGGATAGATTTCACGAGTATGTTGCACGTTATGATTTCAGATAGTTTTTAAGTATTATAAATATATTTGAAACATTTAGGTTAGCGCTTTGAACATCAAATAAAATTTAAACATCTAATAAAAAACTTTGAATATTAGAGGAGAAATAGTATTTTTATTATAGGCCTTGTTATAACTTTATATGTGTAACCGAGTATCACACTTTTTTTTTCTTCTTTTACTCTTTGAGCCCTAATTTAGTAAATTATATAAGTATTTATTTTTGAAACAAAATTATACAAGTACTTATTATAAGTTTATTTTATTCTTGTGAATTGAAATTTATTTAATAAAATTAATATTTTTCATACATCCTCTTGAAGAAGTTTATATTTGACGCATGATGATATGGTTGATGTTAGTGTTGAAAAAAGGCTCATAACTAAATATTAATGTGTAAAATTACAAAAAAAAAAAAAAAGTTAAGTGTTTGTTAAAGTAATATTTTATCGTCAATACAAGTCAACTATTCTAGTTATAATCATAATATCTATTATATCAAGGGGTGAATTAGTGTTGTCCACCTAAAAACACCTAAAAATCACTTATAACTCTTACAATAGTCCGTGTATATGAGAGTGAGGGATAGCTCAAGTGGTTAGAGCTTCCCTCCCGATTCCAAGAGATCTTGGGATCGATTCTCACCCCCCGCCCTTGTGGCTCTCTAAACACCAAAAAAAAAACACAATAGTTCGTGTATATAAATTTTAAATGTAAAGTACGCATCACGTGTAAAGAGGATTTCAGGATTAGTTAGGGTAACCTCACCCCGGTTTATTTTAGGGTTCGTTTAGCATTGCTGTGGTTTTCTGTTTTTTGGTTTTTTGTTTTCTAAAAGTATATGATATGTGTCCCATAATGAATCAAAAATTATATAAACTTATTAAAATTATGATAATTTTAAAAACTGACAACGGAAAAATAGAAACACCTTTTTCTTGTTTCCTGTTTTTGGTTTTTAAAAAAAGAAAACTAAAAACCAAAACTGATGTCAAACAAGCCCTTAGCTCTTTGTGTTTTTTTGTTGGGTTTTCCACTTTTCAAAAATAAATAAATAAATAAGTTTGTACTCTTCAAACTTTCTTCCAGAATCCCGTCAAAAAAAAAAAAAAACCTTGCCTCGAGAAGAACTTCGTTTTATTTCAATTGATGATTCAAATTATCTCTCAAAGAAGCCCAAATTTCTCTTACAAGTCCAATAAAATTAGATGGGCTAAAAATACAGTTCAAGTTCATCTTGGGCTTTGATGACGATTTTAAAACAATGACCTGGACAAAGCTATACTCTCTCGATTTCTTCTACTATTTAAGAGTTTAACCATTTTTAAACTCTAAGTTCAGCTGGCCAAACCTAACACCACATAAACCAAATACAAAAAAAAACTCATGTTAGTAAAAAAAACTCATGTTAGTATTAAGGATTTATGATATGTTTAATTAAGTGGGTCAACAATGCATGTTTAATAAAACAACTTTTAGTTAGTATTGAGATTCCTAACACAAAATTAACATAATTCAATCCGCCTTAAAAAAAAACCCATAATTTATAGAATTAATGATTAATATTTTGAGCGAGGCTACCACTTTTTCATGTAACACAACACAACCATTTAACTACAAACACGAATACGAAATGACACGGCTCTACCTTCTAAGGGTATGTTCTCTTCCGTTGAAATTCAATTCAGTTCAGTTCAGTTTAGTTTAGTTCAGTTCATTTCAGCTCTTAATTTATGTCTAATGATATTGCTAATGATATAAAGCAAAATTTCATTCTTTTAAGCTTTTATTACAACGACGACGACGACGACGACAACAACAACAACAACAATAATAATAATCAATAAGTAATAAATAATAATAATAATAATAATAATAACAATAATAATTGAAATAATAATTGAAATAATAATACTAATAATAATAATCAATAAATAATAATAATAATAATAATAATAATAATAATAATAATCATCAATAATTAATAATAATAATAATATTAATAATATGTACATTTGTATATACACATATGTATAGTAATAAATAATCAATAAATAATCAAAGATCACTAATCCGTAGTTAAAAATCACTAATTAATAAGTTCAGCTCAGTTCAGCTCAGCTGAGTTCAGTCAATCGAAACAGGCCCTAAGTTGCTGGGAAAAAAAAAAATCTTTTCTCAGCTGAAAAGGAAAACTATTATAAGTTCAACTAGAAAGAAATCAAAGGTTTTAGATCTATCTTCCACTTATATATTAAGACTAGAATAGACCCGATCTACAATAACTTATTGTAGACCCAACCTTCTAGTGTTTCATACGAATGTGATTATATCATACGAAATGTGATTATATTATTACAAAAGTGATTATGTCATCTTGAAACTACTATGTAAATGTATCACTCAAAAAGTGAATTTATCATTATAAAAAGTATCAAATAGTAAATTACATCATTCAAAAGATGATTTTTAAATTTTATCATCCTAAAGATAATTATATAATCTCATTAAATGGTTTAATATAAAATCAAAATATGACTCACAAAAAGATAATTATATCATCTAAAAAAGTGATTATATCATCCAAAATGTGATTATATTATTTGAAAGTGTCAAATTTTGGGTGTACAATAATTTATTGTAGACCGGGTCCATACAAGACCAATTGCATTTCCTCCAAATCTTAAGCATTTATGCCGAAACACACATGTTAAGAGGATAAAGAAGATATCTTCGTATAAGAGGATGTGTGGTACAATATATTAAGATGGTCACCAAGTACTAAATGTATGATGCTACCACAAGTCCACATATACTCGCAAACACAAAGTGTATCTATCTTTGTCATATGATAATACAAATTGCATTTAGAAACAATAATTTTGAAACACTACTTTACCAAACACAATTTTCCCACATTTACTGAAATCAAGTCAGAGAATAAAAACTACTAGCGATATCATTAGAAAAGGAACTATTGGCCTTGACTCAATTGTCTCGACACTCTCGGCTCACAGAGCCGATGTGAGCCGAGAGTGTCGAGCGCAATGGATAGTATAGAGCCGGTCATTTCACCGCCTACCGACACACGATGGCAGCAACAACATACGAGTATCAAAGTACCAAGATTACCAACCACCACGAGTCCATACTAGATGATTGAGATTTTAAACAAGCTCCTTTTTTAACTTTTAAGGTGGGGTGAGGGTGAGATGATGCAGCTTGGGTTCCACATTTGCACATGCTCCAACTCAACAAATCGGTGATCCATTCAAAGGGCCCACCCCTTGGCTTTGGCTCAACTCTATACGCGTTTTACTGTCGTCATTAGGAGACAGACAGATCACATTCTATATGAATACAATGGTCAATTTGTCTGCTTATAACTTAAAATTCCTTCTGCATCTAGAGTATGCAATGAAAACATATAATATCATATTGTATACTAATATATACTTTACCATATAATGAAATCAGCTGGAAATAGACAGATCATATTGAATATACAATGGTCAGATTATAGTACCTCAAGAAACAACTGTGGCAACTGTCAACTGTCCATATACCAAGTATATTTTAGTCTCCTCAAATCTAGATGTACATCAGATCTTCAGTCTTCTGACTTACCATAATCGTTCTACGGTCACCACGGAAATAATTAACAAATATACATAATAAAGGTCTGAAGAGATTATTTTAAGAGAAGCCTAGAATTTTTCCACAAATAATTAGTATGAACTATGAATGTCACAGCTAAATTACTACTCATGAATGTAAACTTGAGGTAAATGTAAAATTAAATAGGAAACACAATTGAGTTAACATAACTGAAAAGTATGTATGGATTAATAATTTAATACACATACAAATTATCATCTCAGCTCATGTAACTGATATCAATCATAACCAAGCTAAAGACATAAGAATAAAGTGCTTATGAAAAAGTATACATTGCTACTCCTTTTACAAAGAAAGAGTAGGCATTTAAAAATTAGACAATGTCATTAAAGTGAGGAGACAAGTCTTACCTCAATCCCACTTGGCCATGCAACCATCAACCACGTGGGTTTGGAAAGAAAACAGATTAATAAGGGGCGAATTATCCTAAATACCCTTAATGAGACAATTGTGACTCGTAATGACATTTTCAACATTTTTCAGCTTGTTAATTGTCTAACTGTTAAAAAACTAGGCCGACAAATTGAGAAAGCCAAATACTCCGTACTCCAAATAAAGAAAAAAAATACATCTACACCCACAAAATATTTTCTTAAAGAAAAATGAAAAGAGAGAATAGCACACAAAAGAACAAAGGAAACCTCGTTTTCAAAAGAATGAGCACCAAGAGCTGAAGTTTACAGATAAAATTTATACAAGTCAAGCCGGCAATGCAGGCCAAGTCAAATACTGAATGACCGCCCTTTTGGGTTTAAGTCAATGCAACATAATATTACACAACTTACAACTATATCATGGTCAGTAGCACCTACTCAATTAATTAACAACACATCTAATGAAAGAATGATTGGTCTTCTAAAATAATTCCAATTATTTTCAACCTAATCACATTGAATACCTCTGATTTTATTTCATTCCAAATTACACCAGTCCATAAATTCACTTTTTCCCACCAGAAACAAATAAATCAGCTATAATTTCAGATATTACATTCACACCCATACAAGATATCACTGATTTTTAGAAATAATCCAAGATATACCCCAAAAAAGGGGGAAATAAAGAAAGTTGAAAATTTCATCAGATTCCGCTAATCACGATATTCCCATTAACAAAGATATGGCTATCAGAACATTCTCAGCACAAGAGAGTTATAGGGAAGGAGGGATAGAACCAAGAAAGAAACTGAAAAAGGTGAGGTCAGTTAAGGTTGCAAACCTGGATAGGTTGAGGTTATCAATGAGAAGGGAGAAATCTCGGTTCAATCGCGGTGTTGTAGCTTCATCAGATGATGCTACTGTCACATCAGGATCATCTTCTGCTGCCATTTCTGGTACATCGTCTCCAAATTATATGAAGGCTACAACTAGCTATAGTGCCAGAATAGGGTCAGTGCAAGCAAATTCAGGTAATCTGCGGTCTAGTTCTGCTGGCCGCAGCGATAATAGAAGTTCATCAGCAAAGTCTGCCTCGAAATTGAGCAAGGTCTCAGTGCAAGAATTCTCTGATCCTGCAGGTGTAAATAAAATAAAAGCAGAGAAAAGCTTGAAGAGGGTGCCTAGTTTAAAGCAATCCAAGAAGATGTCTAGTAAAAAATCAATGAAAATCCGGGCCAGATATTCACAATTCCCAGATGTTGGCATCATATCAGATGAAATTCTGGACTTTAGCATCCTGCGAAATCAGAATAACACAGACATCATTGATGGAGGAATGGAAATTGACCCAGAAAGCCTAAATGTCATTGCTTCTCGTGGTCAGGATAGCATTGGCAAGACAGGAACAAAACAAAAGGGAATCTTAGAACGGTCGACATCGAGAAGGATGATAAGACTCAGGAGCATAAAATCGTCAAGGACAAGGCAGAGGCCACAATCCAGACTCAGTAGTGGAGCAACAGAGCTAATGTCATATGAAAGAGAAGTATTCAGTGCAGAACCACATTACATGAAGGGCACCAGCTCTCAAGACAAAAGAAAGGTAGGCTTTATTTTCATCATTTCATGTCTGATTTTGTATTTAGAATGTTAGTTACTTGGAAGAAACATTGAAAAGCATATGAGAAAAACAGTAAAAATACATAAACAATGAAGCTTTTGACGCTAAGACTGATAAATTGATTTTTTTTTGCCAGAAATCTGACAAGGGTTTGACAAGAACATCTAGCTTAAGGCCTCTAAGGATCTTAGCAAAGATTCCAAGCCTAAGACCTAAAAGGAGTAAAGTAAGGAAAAGGCCTCAGGTAACTCCACTGTCAGGAAAAGGTGTTGATCGTGCCACCTGTTCGTCCACTCTAAAGAGAACCGAAGTCCCAGATGAAATTGAACTTCATTCAATGGGTCGAGAATCAGAGGGAACTTCTTCTTTCCATCTTTGCCCATACAGCTATTGCTCTATTCATGGTCACCACCACCAAACCCCCTCTCAACCTCTTAAAGAATTCATTTCTGCAAAAAGGAAACTGTTCAGTAACCAGAAAGGTGAGAAGTCAGACAGCAAGTCCAGGGGAGAAGTGGAACATTACACAATTTCCGCTGAATCTGATCAGTCAAGGCAGATAGTATCCGCTGAAAGTTATGCACTTCAAGAAGTTATGAATGTCACAAAAAAGAATGCTTTGGAAGCAGAAGAGGATGGAATAGATTTTCTCATTAAAATCTATGCCAAACCCAGGAAAAAGTGGGCTGCTGAAGGTACCCTGAGCAATGATGCTGAAACATTAAATGGTTCCACTTATGACCAGATCAGTGTTTGGGACTATGACGGGAAACAAGCAGAAACACCCAGTGAGACATCAGAACCTGAGGTAAGCAACTACCATCTACATAATATGTGGAAAAAAAAGAAAAAAAAATTATATCCTAAATCAAAAGCAGTTAAGTCTTAAATGAGTTATATTGCTCCAAGACAAAACATATAAGATCTGGTTTCCCCATCTAAAGACAGATTAAGTAGGAGAACATGCTACTGCATTCAGTATTTTAATAAATTTGTCTTTTGCTAGGAAATACAAAGAGCAATGAATGATGTTCAGCAAGAAAAATTTGAGATCTTCAAAGCATGCAATGTTGACTCAAATGAGATAATACTGCAGCAGCCTTTGGAATTACCTGACAACGGTTCAAAATCAGTGTCTGACCTTAAGGAACTCGAACCAAGTATATCAAAAGAAGAGCTTCAGGATTCCTCCAAGGATACGTACCATTTGGCAAGTAGGGAATCTGCAGCCAGTCCAGGCGGTGATCTGATCCACATCCTTTCTGATAAACAGAAGTATACAAGCATGTGGCAGCTGATCCATCAACAACTTCTTTCAAGTGAAGCATCAATGGACAATGTCCAGGAAGTCATTCAAGAAGATGAAAAAGGAAGTGGAGACGGAAACACTAGCCATGAAATGAGTAGCTTGGATCTAGAGCAGAGTAGATACAACAACAATCGCAAGGAAGATGTCGATGACCAAGTTGCAGTGACACAGAAGCTTGAATTACACCAGACTGCAGCCATAAAATTGGTACAAGAAGCACTTGATGCAATATTACAACATGATGCGGAGTCATATCATCAGCAGTCAAATCCAGTCCAAGAAATGGCTTACAGTTCTGTCACAGAGGAAATATCAACCCCTACAGCCTCCATTGAAGAAAATTACAGAAAAGATGGTGAAGTAGACGGAAGAGAGATGGGTTTAGGATCAGCAGAAAAGCAAAACAAAATGAAGAAAATGGGTAACAGATTACTGCAAAAAGAACCAGATGAAAAGGAGATGTCAGGACGAAAAATGTCCAAGAGTTTCAGCAGGCTCAAAAAATTGTTTATGACTGCAAAATTCATCAAGGCAATGGAAAGACTGAAAAAGATCAACCCACGCAAACCACAATACTTATCTGCAGAACCAACCTCAGAGAATGAGAGGATATATCTAAGGCATCTAAGCATGAATGAAACAAAGAATACAGAGGAATGGATGCTTGATAATGCGCTTAGACAAGTAATATCAAGGCTGGATCCTGATCAGCAAAGAAGAGTGGCCCGACTTGTTGAAGCATATGAAACAGTTACCCCAGAGCTGGAAGTGAACACCAACAGGCTTTATCCCATGACAAGTGTGCCTGCTCCTGGAAGCAAAGTGGCCAATCCTTTGATAGATGAAGAGAAAAATAGATTTGTAGAATCCAAGCAAGATACTTCAGTATCTGATGAAAAGGTTTTGCAAAAGAAAGATGATGGAGTGCTGGTATCTCAGAAAGATGTTCCTGAGGAAAAATGTTCAAGGGAAGAGAAAAAATATCAGGCAAACATAACAGGTATCTAAATCAATTTTGTTTTTTTGCATATAGAAGAAAAAAACATGCTACTTTACTTCAAAAATTATAATCTAGAAACATTTAAATTGTCCTACAGGTGAAAAAATTCTGCAAGATGCAGGTGTGACCAACGATTTAGATTCCACATTTGTTGATGGAGGTGTGGGTATTGAAGATCCTATCAATACACTCAAGGATTCATCCCAATATCCTACCGGAGATTCTGAAGTCAGCCTGGTTGGTGATATGACCAGTATTTTCTTCAACAAACAACAGTATACTGGTATGTGGAACCTGATCTACCAACATGCTGTATCAAATGAAGCATCAGTTGATGAGAAGCAAAGACTCAATGGATATGACGAAGAAAACCAAAATGATACAATCAACTGTCAACAAATAACCGACAGAGACTCAATCCCAAGTAGCTTCAGCATGGATCAAAAAGAAGATGAAGATAACAAAAGTACAGCTTCTGAAATCCCTGATGTTGAACAATCAGCTGCCATAAAGCTGGTAAAAGAAGCCCTTAATGCAATTTTAAAACGCTATGAGCAGCCACCTCAATTACAGCCCATTCCAGACCATCACACAGCTTCTGATGATGCTAGAGATCTATGCAATTCAACCTCTACACCTTGTACAGAAGAAGATTTCAAAGAAAGGGTAAAGAATGCGGAAAAGCATGCCGACACAGACCTAGAAGATAAGATGCATCATGTTGAAAATATACTCTCACCACAACAGCAAGTGGAATCTGATGAATTGAAGGCGCCTCAGAGAAAAATTTCCAACAGCTTAAGCAAGCTGAAAAAAGCAATTGCAACTACCAGGTTCATAAAAGCGATGGAGAGGCTGACAAAGAGCAGTCTGCGTAGATCACAAAATCTGTATTCAGATACAAGATCGGAGAAAGAAAGAATTTATCTGAGGCATCGAAGCATGGATGGGAGGAAAAACGATGAAGAATGGATGCTTGATTATGCACTTAGACAGGTAATCTCCAAGATGGATCCTGATCAGCAAAGAAGAGTGGCACTCATCGTAAGAGCATTTGAAACAGTGCACCCTGAACAGAGAGAGAAGAGCATTAGATGCTATCCTACAACAGGTGAAGCTGTTGGTGACCATGTATTAGCCAGCTCCACAAATGAAGTGAACGAAGGCTATCTTGAGTCTCAACAGAAAAGATTGAAATCAATTGAACCGATTCCTCTCATGCAAGATAATAGCATCCTACTACCTTCCAGAGAAGCTTTGCAAGAAAAAATACCTCGGGAGCATCATGCTCAACAGACAAGCTTAGCAGGTAAGTATAAATCAATTTTTGTTTGTAGGGAGCTCAAAGAACCAATTATAAAAGATAATGAACATGCTGCAACATAAAATTATAGCTATTCTGACCATACCCATTGCTCAAAATGTGCCATGAAAAACCAGATGACATATTTCTGCAAGAGACAAGTGAGGCTGCATTATCAAAATCGACTTTAAAGTTGTCTGAAGAAAGCTCGCGATTAAGTTCTATGGTTGTCACACCTGAAGAACCAAATATCCGGGATAAAGAAACTGGGAGAGCATTTGAACAATCTTCCCCGTTTCCAACTGCTGATTCTGAGGTCAAACCTGATGGAGATATGGCCAATATTCTCTTGGACAAACAAAAGTACACAAGTATGTGGAACTTGATACATCAACATGTCCTCTCAAATGAAGCAGCAACGACTGGACAGCAGGAAGTCAATGAGGTTGATGAAGAGAAACAAGGTAATGATGCAACTACATGGCAAGCAATTAATGATCCAGATTCAATCCAGAGTAATCAATTGGAAAAATCCAAGGTAGATAAAGATAATCATAGTGCAGCCTTTGATCAGTCGGCTGCCATTAATCTGGTAAAGGAAGCAATCAATGCAATACTACAATGCCATGAGCAGAAATCTAACCAACAGTCCTGTCAAGAGCCTGGCAGAGCTGCTGATAATGCTAGAGAGCTTTGTGACACAACTGCTCTAGATCCCACAAAAGATAATTCTGAAGAGAACAGAGTAGAAAAACACAGAAATTCAGGGCCAGAAAAAAAGTTGCATGAAGTAGAGAGCACACGTGCCCCACTCCAAAAGCAAGCAGAACCATTTGAAGCAATCAAAGACCAGAGGAAAATGTCAAAAAGCTTAAGCAAGCTGAAAAAAGCTATAGTTACTGCCAAATTCATCAAGGCAATGGAAAGACTTAGAAAGATCAACCCACGTAAACCACAGCATCTGCCTCCAGAGGTGGCCTCAGAAGAAGAAAGAATTTATCTAAGGCATTTAAGCATCAAGGGAAGGAAAAATGATGAAGAATGGATGCTTGATTATGCACTTAGAAAGGTTCTTTGTAGCCTTGCTCCTGATCAGCAGAGAAAAGTGGCATCACTTGTAGAAGCATTTGAAACAGTCCACCCAGAGCAAAAAAGCATTAGATATCGATCGAAATCTGAGTGGGACAATGAAACTGGATCAGGAAGCACGACAGACCAAAAACGAATTCCTAAGTCTAAGCATAACAGTTCCATGCCAAATAATGACACAATTCCTCCAATGCCATATGATGAATTAGATAAGATTGGTAAAGATGCTACATTTGAAAAAAGTGTGCAAGATCAAGGCATGAAGTTCTCAAACCAGAGGATGAACTTATCCCACAAAGTTAGTGATTCAGATGACAACAATTTGCACAGTCACCATCAAGTGAGCTCAACAGGTAAAGCTATGCTAATATCCTATTAATTGCATCTATGTCCTTGTATATGATAATTATCAAGTTAGACAGCAGCCAGTTGTTTTTTTCCTTTTTATTTTTTTTGGTTGGAAAAATGTCTCGGTTGTTCATATTGTGTTTTTTGCAGGATCTGCAATCAGTGACCCATTGCGCAAAAAAAAAAGAGAAAAAAGAGATGGGCGCAAATCCCATATATGAAGCATTTCAACAAGCCAATGATCTTGAGCTGGAATGCAAGGCTAACAAACACGAAGGCATTTTATATGACAAGCAGAAGAACTCCAGTATGTGGCATCTGATATATCAACATGTCAAATCTGCTGGTGTCTCAGAAACTGGCAACAAGCTGTCTGAGAGACTGACCGGAGAGGACCAGGTGAACAGGAGTGGCACATCATCTGACGCGGATGCTGATGCTGATGATAGTGATGCAAGCAGCGTAACAAGTGAGCTTACTGAGAGTGATGCCATTAAGCTAGTAAAAGAGGCCATCAATGATATCCTTAATGTGCCACAAGACGTCGAAGATGAACTAACTCCAAGCAATAAAACAACTACTTCAGAAGGTCAAAGCATAGAAGTAGAAGAAAATCCAAAGAAAAGTCTATCCAGGGGCTACAGCAAGCTGAGAAAAATTATCATCTGCAATAAATTCATCAAGGCAATGGAAAAGACCCGGAATTTCTACCCACAAACTAGTCGAACCTTAAATTCTGGTTCAGAACCTAGAAACAGTCATCTGACGAATTGTGCAGTGGGTGAGAGAAAAGGGATGGATGAGTGGATGCTTGATAACGTATTGCAGAAAGTTATCGCTGGACTTGCTCCAGTACAACAAAAAAGAGTATCCTTATTGGTTAAAGCCTTTGAAAAAGTCAACCCAGATCCAGAAGAGAGGGCAAAAAGACTCATTTACACTAAAACAGAATTTCCTGATACTAGTTCCTCAGAAGGGAATACAAAAGAAATGGAGAAAGCAGTACCATCAGATTCTTCACATAACTCGGAACTTCCTGGTGACATTCACCTCAAGCTAGATAGATCACAAAATTCCAGCTCAGAAGTAGTCACAGAAAGGGTTCTACAAGAATCCTGTAAAGACGAAAGTCCTGGCTTGACTAGAGAATGCGCATTGAATGGACAAAGTTGTAGTAGTGGTGATCCTTCTGATATTAATGCAGCAACATCCGATCCGATCAGTAATCTCTCAGAAACTAATAAGGACCCAACAGAAATTGATGCTACAAATGCACCAGGTGTTCCACCAGAGGAAAGGAAAAATTCTAAGGATGAAGCAGGTGCACAGGTTGAGGAGAAAACTTTGCTTGAAGAACAAGAGGTTGAGAATACAGAATTAACGGCTAAATCTTCAAAGAAGCCTCCACAGCCTGAAGACTTGGAAGATGAGTGGAATTACAGTGTACAAAATAGTAGATCCTTAGAAAAGCCTACAGGGCTGTGGGGCCTAATACTGCAGCATGTCTCAGTTGATATGTTGGAGAAAAATGAATCCCCAAAAACAATTCAAATTGATGCAAATGTACAGGTGGGCAGCAGTAGCACTGAGGTTTCAGATAGCAAAACAGATGATTCTTCTCAGCTTTCATCTAGAGTCAAAAGTTGCAGGGATATGGGTGTTCAAACTCCAACAAGCTTTGAGTTTGAAGAAAATGAAGCAATAAAGCTGGTAGAGGAAGCAGTAGAAGAAATCCTTCTTCTCCAGGACCAGATTTGTGATACGGAATCAATAACCAGTGGCATAACTTCAGAGAAAGGAGTCTACGGTGAAAACAAAGGAGAAGCCATTGATCCCTCGCTTGCTGCCACAGAAATTGCAGGTGTTGCAACATCACTTAATACTGATGCAACTCTAGAAGAAAAGAAAACATCGTCAGAAGAAAATGTACCTACCAGCTATAGCACACTTTCCAAAGTTGTTATGTGCAGAAGATTTGTCAAGGCAATGAACAAAATGCGGAAGCTTAAAGCACTGCATGTTCAAGACCTTTCTCAGCCACCTCAATCACAAGGAGAAGGTAATCCTTCATTGCGACAAATTTCAACCAGGGACAAGGCAAGTTGGGAGGAAGGGATGCTTGATAACGCACTGCAGAAAGTTATAGGAAACCTTGCTCCAGCAAAGAAGCAACGAGTAGCACTGCTTGTTCAAGCTTTTGAGACTGTTGGTTCACTGCCTGAACCAACAAACAGCTGGAGAGGTAAAGCATCAGTCTTATAAAAAATAAATGTTCCAATCTAGTGCTCTATTGGACTTGGATATTTGAAGGCAAGGTTGCAGTATCTCTGAAATGAACATCCAATGGATACGATGCTCAAAATTTGAGAAGATTTATATGAATTAGGTCCCTAGATTAATATAAGTAAGTTCTGCAGTACATAAGTTTTATTCATAGGAATAGTAGACTTGTATAGTTAAATAAATTGGGTTTTGTCCATGACTGTTGGTTGGTATTATTGCATTATGTAATTATTCAGCTAATGATGTGTATTTTGAGAGGATAATGTCATATACTTCGTGCATGAGTAGCAAAATCCACAGACCACCATGATACTATATGTAAGTATTCTCCCTAACCTGCACTATGGATAAGGTCTCATCTTTTTAAGTGTCACATGTCTACATTACAATAGATCTAAACGCTTTCCCATAGGGATCACTTGCCCAGGAGGAATAACTATAAAATAAAAACAATAGAAATCGAGAAAGAGATGGGAGACAAAATATGAGAAAAGCTAAACTATCATTGCTTGATAAACAATTTCTATCTTTCTCAAGTGGTCATAACACAAGGAGAAACTTACGACCACTTCCAGACTACTCACTCAACCCACTAAAGAGTGCCCATATTATCAGTCCCAAAATCACTTAGTATGGACTTCTACTAAACAAGACCTTGATGTTCTTGGTAGCTTCTTTAATGTGTTGTCGAGCAATATCTATTCTACCCACATGACTAAAACAAGACAAACTACAACCAATTCCATCAAAACTAATGAGAGTCTCATAAAGCATTTAACCATCTCCACTTCCTTGACCCCACATGTTAAGGGAATACACATCCAGGCACTAAGATACCACATGCTCCAATTCGCGGACACAACCTTCATTACATTAAGGCCACCTTAAATCACCCTTTGCCAAAGCATACTAGTAAAACCTAAATGTGGCAAAATTATCAAAGTGACATTGTCCAATTAGCTTATCAAATAACAACCAACATCTTGAAATAGGGGAAATAATCAATCAAGTACACACAATGAAACTATGAAATACAGGTGTTGTCGAATTGGAGGCGTGTTACCTGGTTATATAACACGCCTCCATCGCCTATACAGTACACCAGTAGCTAATGTAAACTACAGATTTTATTTATTTATTTATTTATTTATTTTTCCAATTTCCTGCCTATTATCACTTAACTCCAACTTGAATTCTTGCACCTAAAGCAGCAAAATCATGGCATTTACAATTACAACCATTATCATTATTATGGGAAAATGTTCTGACCAAAAATATATGAATAAAGTTTTCAGCTTAACATAAATTACATCATATAATACCCCAGAATGTCATAATTTAGGGGAATTACACAAAAACACAATGATTAACACAAATTACAATTAAATAAGATAAATTACACATAACCTAAACCCCCAAATTAAAATAACAGAATTTTTAAAAAAAAAATAAATAAAAATAGTTGTATGTTCTAACCTTCTTGGATAGGAGATTTACAGAAGTTGACGAAGAGAATTTGGCAATTAGTGATTTCTGGAATTTTGATTGAAATTAAATAGTTACAATAAATGCGAAAATTTCTGATTGTAATTAAGTAATACTGGCGGAAAGAGACTGAGAATAGAAATAGGGAGGAGAGCGACATAGCGCAGAAATTAGGCGGGAAACTTGGTTGAATGAGAACTCATAGTTGGGTTACTTGGGTAGTTGTGGTTGCACTAGTTAGTTCTTGCCTTCTTGGTGCAAAGACCCTAACGGAGTAACGGGGCGTTTGACATGTGGGAACGTGAGTTTGTGATTAGAGTACGATCAAGCTTATTGTTAACAAGCTTTTTAGGAATGTGAGTTTGTGATTAGAGTGCGATCAAAATTAACTATTTAGAGTGCGATCAAGCTTATTGTGCTCATGCTGGATTCGTGCCAAATTTTGAAAATGATGTCCATACATGACCCACCTATGTAGTGTAATTATCGATTACATTACATATTTACATGGGTTCAACTAATTACATTAATTCTACCAAACACCAAGATTACTTATTGTAATAATTACCCATATAGCTCTTACACAAAGGCTAGTCGAGTAGTTTCTTCAAATCAACTTTTTATTTTTATTTTTATTTATTTATTTATTTATTTATTTATTTATTTATTGAGTAGTTTCTTCAAATCAACTTATTGAACTCCAATATACTTATGTAAAAACATCTGTTTTTTAAACACCAAAAATAGCTAAAAAAAAAAGTTAATTTTGTGATCAAACTATCTATTTACTCCTAAAAAGCTAACTATATTACAAAGTATCTATCATCTTTTTACCACACTTGTAACATACAAGTATAAGTACATAACATTTCATTCTCTCATCTCTTTAGGATTTGTTCCGATTTATTGAAAACAAGTGAACTGAACTGATTGGAGCTGAATTGAACTAAACTGAACTGAAATTAATTGTTTATAAGAGAAGAAAATTAGGAATTGAGCTGAACTAAAATCTATACTTAGTATTTAAAAAGACAAATCACAATCACCTATATGACACATGTCATCATAATTCACCTATATGCCACATAACACATCCATTAATAATATTTCCTCTTTATACTCCCTTTTAAAGTAAAAGATAAAATAAAATGTTATTGAATGCTAAAGTTTTTATGCATTCCTAACTTGCAAATTTGAGTAAGAAAATGGAGTGTTCCATTTTCACAAAAAAAAAAATGTACTCCTCTCTATATCCTTTTTAATGTAAAAGTTAAAATAACAAATTATTTAATGTTAAAATCTTTATGTATTTCTAACTTGCAAATTATAAGTAAGAAAATTAAGCAAATTATTACAAAAAAAAAACACCAACACATACAACACAAATAAGCAACACAGTTCAAGAAAAATAAAATGAGCTACACCCGTTCGTTGAACGGGCCAAGAGACTAGTTAAGTTGAACAAAGCAAACCCTTAATCATATGAACTTTTTTTTTTTTTTTTTTTATATATACGTAGTATATGTTGCATAATTTATGAGAATAATTAAATATTTTTGTTCACTTAATTAACATTATCAAGCTGGCCGCCTGACCCAAATAATATGGATTGCCTTTTTGTGATCCAAATGGTGGCCCAACTTCAAACCCAGCCATATAGCCTGATCGACTCGATATTATTCCAATGTGATAGCAATCATATTCATGTCCAATACTAAGTAACGTAAACTCAAATAAAATTGACAAAAGGTCCATTCTTTTGTTTTTGGTTTTATTATTGAAGTTAGTATTTTTTTTTTTATTTTTTATTTCCCATGTATGTCTTATGTAGTTATGTGTTTGGGTGTTTCAGTTACAAATATAGGAAAATGATAGCCATTATATTAACTCATTTTACCCTTAAATTTGTTAGTTATAGTTAAAATCTACTTTAAAATTTTTGGATAGGTTTACCCTCAAAATTTTTATTAATGCAACAATGTTTTTACATACCTCCAATTCATTATTTTATTCATTGAATTTGTAATCAAAAAGACATTTCAAAGCACAATTAATACTTGATATTTGTAATGCTTGTTAAAAAAAATGCAATAGAAAATGTGAGCAATAAACATTGTATTAGAATTTCGCGATTGTAAAAATTAACTCACTTGCACAATTTGCTTAAAATCTATTCATTATATGTGTAAAAAAAAAAATAATACTCCATAATAAGATTGCGGGAAGTTTGTTGAGCTTGGACGATGGTAGCACCATAGCATAGTAAACCCTTTTTAATTCAAATCAAGTTGGTTCTATTCATCTAAATATTAACTGTTTTAATTATACCCTTTAATATAATAAATTTTTTTTGCAAAAATATTTACTGAATATTAATGTTAAAACTTTTGCATTTAGAAGCATAAATTCTAAATATAATAGTTTCAAAAAAATAAAATAAAATGGAAGAAGTAATTTTTATTGCAAAATCTCAATAATTGTTAAAAAAAAAAATGTTATTGTAGCATCACCATAATCACGCTCTATGTCGGATTTAATTTAAACTATAGATTGCTAAAAGTCTTTATCTTTAATTAGTCAAAAGCATCTTTACATCCCACTTGGTCTCCCCTTCCGTCTCTTTCTCTCTTATCTATGCATCCATTTCATCATTACTCAATTAAAATCCCTCAAATAGTTTTCAATTTGCAATCATCATTTGTTTTTATAGATATAATTATACTCGTTAATTAAGTCCAAATTTTGCATCATTAGAGGGGAATGGGGAAGATTAGCTTGATTAATTACAAATGATTTAGCTACTTATTTTTATAATGTTGTCTCTTTAATGATTAAAATATTTTATGGCTTGGTCGTTGGCATGTTAGATGATTATTTTTTGAACATATTAATACACACTAATTCATTAAGGGCCTGTTCTTGTTGACTGAATTGAACTAAACTAAGGGTCTGTTCACATTTACTTTATTTCAGTTCAGTAAATCCAGCTCTTTCTCTCATAAAATATTCATTTCAGCTTAATTCAGTTCAGTTCAGTTAAGCTCCAATCAATTCAGTTCAGCTCCAAATCAGTTCAGTTCAGCTCATTTTAGTAAATGTGAACATGCCCTAAACTGAAATGAATATTTTATAAGAGAAGAAAATTAGGAGCTGAAATTGACTGAACTGAAAATAAACGTATGAGAACAAGCCTTAAGACATAGATCGATTCGAATATTGATAACAATTCTCTCTCTTTTTTTTGGATAAATTTGATTAAAGTTTTGAGAGAAGGGAAACTTAGACTTAAAATTTTCCAATTTCAAGCTAAGTACTTCATTAATAACTTTGTAATTTAGCTAGTGAGCAAAAATACGATTGTTCACATGGTAATTATGTAACTAATGGTTTATTTTATCACATATCTACAAGAATAATAATTAATATTAATATTAAGTTTGAATAAATAATCACTAAAAAAATCCACTTGAAGAATTAGTACCCATAAGAAACTTCTTTTATTTATTTAGATGCAAGAAATTCATAAAAATGCAATCCCTCAAATAATATACAACAAAGAAGTTCATAGTTTTGTACATTTTTCTGTTGTATTTACCATAAGCCCTCCTCAAGGCTTGTTCACATTTATTTAATTTCAGTTCAATTCAGCTCCAATCTATTCAGTTCAGCTTCAATCAGTTCATTTCAGTTCAGATCAATTCAGCTCTTAATTTTCCTCTCTCATAAAATATTCATTTCAGCTTAGTTCAGTTCAGTTCAGCTCCAATCAGTTCAGTTCAGTTCCAATCAGTTCAGTTTAGCTCCAATCAGTTCAATTCAACTCATTTGAGTAAATGTGAACAGGCCCTCAATATTGAATTATGTTTACTTTGGGAGTTTGGGTTTAGTTTAATCTTTAAAAAATAATTTAATGTGGTGACTTCTTCAATTATATGTTGTATTTATTTTTAATATTTTGTTGAGTTTAATCTTTTAATATAGAATGATGACTTCATCAATGGACTAATAGAGTAACATTAGCATTGCACATAACCTGGAACAAATACGAAGTAATAAATAACAATGACATCACCCGCAAATTTTTACCTACAACCCCCTTTAGACAATGCTGTCTACTCCCCCCAATTATACTACATCGTTTTACCTGTTTATGCTTTTTAGGTTTTTTTTTTTTTAATCTTATCTTATCTTATCTCTCAAGTCATTTATATATATGATTCAAAACCTATTTTTCTGTTTTACGCTTTTTTTTTTTATTTTTTTTGCATTTTCTCTCTCTTCTTCAACATTATTTCTCTTTCAATCACTTTTTTTCCTCTTATTTATGGATGAATCATTGATTGGAGCTGTTGATTGTGATAATAAAGTGCTACATTCTTCGATTGTCGAATTTGATCGTGATTGTGAAGTTATTTTGTCTATGATTGGAGTTGTTCAATTTGATCAATTTTGTCTCTGATTTCGATTAATGCTTGCTGGTCAATTGTTTGATTCAATTTTGTTAGCTGTTTGTTTTAAATTATTTGCTGATTTTTTTCGATTTTTCAAGTTTTTTTTTTTAATCAATTTAGCCTTTGTTTTAGTTCAATTTGGTTTAGTGTTATAATTCAAGTGAATTGAAGTTTTTATTTTAATAAATTTTGTCTCTTATTTCGATTAGTATGATTTATGATTCAAGTTTGTTTGCTGTTTTTAGTTTAATGATTGCTGATTGTGATTTGTTTTCTGTGATTGATTATATATTTTTTTATTTACGTTTTCGTGTTTTTTTTTAGTAGTTTTACAATTTTGATCAATTTTATAATTCTAAATGTTCATTATGATTCAAACTAATGTTCTGTTATAGATGTTTTAATTATATTTTAAATATTTAGTACTTTATTTTATTTTATTATTTTGATCAAATTGATAATGCTAAATGATCATTTATATATGTACTGTTTTGTATTTGTACATATCTGTCATTGATTATGTTCATTTTAAAAACTTATGCAGCGGGTGCTAGTGATGAAATTTTGTATGAAAAAGCAACTAAATCAGAGTTACTTTTTACATATTTTAATTCTGAACAAGAAATTTATGGCAGGTACAATGAATATGCTTTTAAAAAAGAATTTAGTATTGTCCAAGTGCGTGCTCCAATAAAAGGTCAAGTTCATTCAAGTGCTCCAAGTGATGTCCAAGTTTCTTTAAGTGTGCCAAGAAAAAAAGGTTCAATTACGTCCGAGTGTTCCAATAAATTTTCAAGTTCCTCCAAGTGTTCCAAGAGATGTTCAAAGTGTTCAACGTGGTAGCTAATCAACATATTTCTTCTAAGTATGATAAGGTTGTTAGCTTTTTCTTTTTTTACACTAATGTAGCGAATAGGTTGGCAAATAATAATAAGTAAGAATTTGGATTGAAACAACATATATTTGTTCCAGCTTAATTTTTTTTTTTTTTCTGATAAGTGATATGTAACTGGACATGTTTTGTTTTGACACTGAACATTTGCCTTTTTGGTTATGAACATTTTATTGTATTTTGTTATAACTGTTACGTAATTGAACATATAACTTCTTGATATATATATATATATATATATATATATATATATATATATATATGAATATTAATGTACTTGATCATTTAGAAATCCATAAATGATCAAATAACCGAAAGAATAATATTTGTAGTAATATAAGCTTCCATAAACCTTCTTGCTCCTTTTCTATTGCCTCTAGCTTCCGTTTAATCCAAATAGCATCAATTGAGCAATGCATTGTATTCTCAGCTTCTTGATTTGGTGTATCTGTAAGTCAAACAAATTACAATGTCAATGTGTGTATTCATTGTTATGAAAATGAACATTATGCTATATGTCAAATTAACTTACTTGTGGTTCAACATGCTTTTATCAAAATATGATTCCTACATATTAGTATGTTGTTCATTTTTATCTTTCAATATAATTGATGACATTATCTCCTTATAAATATAGGCTCATAGTTTCCATCTCTAAATTATTGCAACGTGTATTTCACTCTATATAGAACATAACTACAATATATATTGTGTTTGTAAATCAATATATATGCATAAACATTATATTGATATTATAAATTTAATAAATGTTCAATTGGCAAAACAAAATGTACATTCTGTTTTATATAAATGAATAAATTATCACAAATAACATGAGCATATATATATATCACAAATAATGTAAGTGACAATATGTGATTTATTTTTGAACATATTTTAAAATAGAATCATCAAAGGTTTATGATAAATGAGCAATATGTAATTTATTTTTGAACATTTTTAGACATGTGAATGAACATACATTAACATATGTGTGAATAATATACACATATCCAAATGAACATCTATGTATCAAATTCGAATAAGCATCTATCAATATTAGAGCGAAAATGTATGTAGTATAACATTCAAATGATGCTCATGAGCATATAATTTAATATGAAGTTAAACATGTATTATTATAATCTATGTGGATACTTTCAATATGAGAATGAAAATGTACGTAATTACATTCAAATAAACATATGTTTAAATACCAGTAAACATTCATTAATATGTAAAGATCATAAACAAAATTAGAGTAATATTCTCTCAAGAATGAATCCTAGTAGATGTAAGGTAAGAATATAAATGATCATATACTAGTATCATAATGAACATCTATCAAATTGAAAATGAACATTTACTGAAAATGAACATTTGTTCAGCAATCGTCTTCTCCGACGGAACCTTCGAAGTGTTATTCTCTGTTTCGTTTTTACTAATTAAAAATACCACCAAATATAGTAGATTTTAGTCTATTTTGCACAAAAACAAGTGCAATTATAGTAGAGTTTGTTTTAGAATATCAAAACGCAAAAAAAAAAAATTTTTTTTATAAAATCTAGGGTTTACATTCAAAATTCTACTTAAATGAACAAATTCGTACTCTTCTTTTTCGGAATTTAGTTGCGATTGACGAACTTCATCTCGAATGTCAGACATTTTTAGATGTTTTGATGCAATTTGCAGTAATTTTGAAGATTTTTTTCTTGAATTGTAGCGATTTTGAGTATTTGAAGAGAGAGAATATGGTGTTGAAGAGAAATGGAGAATTAATTGCAAGTTCTAACTAGTGCGGTTAGTGGGATGCGGTTAGTGGGGGTAAGGGTTTTACGGTAATTTCAGGGGGGGAGAAGGTATTAATGGCTAAAGGGGGGTGTAGTGAATACGAATTACATCAAAAGTCTATCATCGTTTGATTACATTATTGACAAGATTACTTATAACTATTGCTAAATTAATCCATTACACACTCTCGTGGCAAATTGAGCTTATCATATTGGTTGCCTCTTTCTTAACGAATTCGATAATTAGAGCATTCGTTATATATTTATATCTATTGGGAGACAAATTGAGCAATGGATTACATTATTAATGTTGGTCATTTAGCTTGTGATGCTAATAACATTATTCCTTTGAAAACTTCTTTTTTTTTTCTTTTTTTTTTTTTTTTTTTCTCATCCTCTTTTTCAATAATACATTAGGTATTCACCTCATAAGAAGGAGATCTCAAATAAAGTTTATCACCTTTTTTCTTTAATTAAAATATATGAACTATTTGGTCTAGTTTAGGTGTTGGTCAAGTTTAAGGAATTCCGCTCCTGATTAGAGAGAATTTTGATAATCCAAGGCAAACAAATCTTCTACTATAACTTATTTAGTCAAATTTACTATCGTTTGGAAAATTTGCTCAAAAATATATTAATATACGGAGTACTATTTCTATATCTTTATTTTTAAATTACATTATGCAATAACTATTGGCTAACCAGCTACAAAGTTTTACACACAACTAGCTACTTATTGCCAAACAAGGACATAATCATAAAACCCAAATTAAATATGAAGTATTAGTTTGAAAAATTCATTAAATACCATTAGTGCAAAATATGGTTAAAGTTCAATCAAATCAATACATCAGATCAATATCGAAAAGTTTTTCCAAACATATCCAATGAATAATAAAACCAATTACCATGAAGCATGAATATTTCCTATCAAAAAGCATACAAAAACAAAAATTCAATCATCAAATAACTTGAAAAAAAATCTAAAATTCTTAATCATCCAACTGTAAAGCATATTAGCATACCAAAAATTTCCTTGGGTAAAGGAGTTCAATGAGTATTTACAGGAATTACCAAAACTTTATCTTATGTTTTTCCCCCTCATTATTCAAACATCTTTTACTTTTTTGTAGGAATGTGAATATCCCACCCCTTTTAAAGTTGATTAAAAAGCAATTTCACAATCTAGACAAAATTATCACTTTCTTGGACCCCCACCACCCAAAAAAAATGAACTCTTATTTTACTCTTTTTCAACATGAAATCTGCAAAATACCCAGCAATACAAACACAAATATAGAAAAAGTTTGCAACTTTGATTTTTGTATCATCCTAAAATCAATATAACTAGCTATTGCATGCTTCAATTGGGTCATTTTCATCATTCAACACTATTTGCACACCAAGTGTTTGTTAAAATGTCAATGAGAGATTGATCATATTTTTTTATAGGTAAGTAATATTTGCCAACTTTTAGCTTATTTAAAACTTTCCCACCTCCATTAATGCTGTTGTATAGCCATTGTTTGAATTTATATCTTGTATATTCTTGTTGATTTATGCTCCATTGATGCATATTTATCTTTTGGGTCAAAGCTTTGCTTTTTTTTTTTTTTTTTTTTTTTTTTCTCTGACCAAATCAAAATTAGAGTTTCCCCCTCTTTTTTCAATCAAATATTGAGTGATCTTTGTGGACAACCACGAGAGATAAATTTTTGGTTATGCAGCCGACCCCATCTTTTCGGGATTAAATAATCCTTTTGCATTGCATTGTTGTTGTTGTTGTGTGTATTGGACTCAATTTTTTTAGCTTGACATTGCTAAGCAAATAATGCCTTCAAGACCCATTTCACCAGATCAAAAAACCACTGCAAATACAAGATCTAAAGTAGTTCTTCTTGCAATAACAATCTCAGCAGCAGCAATTTTCTTGATGACTATAGTATACATCCTATACCATTTATGGGATACCTTTTTTCGTCGTTCAAGAACCAACCCTTTTGACTCAGCTCCTACTTTGAAGCTCCAAAAATTTAGTTACAAAGAGCTGAAATCAGCTACCAATAAGTTCAACCCAGATAACTCCATTGGTAAGGGGGGTTTTGGTACGGTTTTTCGAGGGATTTTAAAGGATGGGAAGTCTGTGGCAATCAAGAAACTTGATGCTGCATCTTCTTTACAAGCTGAGAGGGAGTTTCAAAGTGAGCTTACTATACTTGGTTCCATTAGATCACCTCATATAGTGTCATTGTTGGGGTATTGTATTGAGAAGAATAAGAGGGTTTTGGTGTATGAGTATATGCCTAATCGTAGTGTTCAAGACTTGTTATTTAGTGATGTGAATGTGAGTTTAGGGTGCATGAATTGGGAGAGGAGGTTCCAGATTATTCAGGATGTGGTTAGAGCGCTCGAGTTTTTGCATAATGAGTGTGACCCTCCTGTGATTCATGGTGATATTAAGCCTAGTAATGTGTTGCTTGATTGGGATTTTAAGGCAAAAATATCGGATTTTGGGTTGTCGAGGGTGAAGGTGGAGGATGAAGTTGGGATTGATTTGTTTAGTCAGGAATTGGGTAAGAGTCAAGAATTGTGGAAGACCCAAGATCTTTCTGGGAATTTGAATGGTGAAACCACCCCTACTGTTGGAACTCCTCCAATTGAAGGTCATTGTAGTAGTGGTGAGGTTGATTTTGCTTTGGCTTTGCAAGCATCTAGCTCATCTAAGCATGTCAAGGGTTCCCATAACACGAACGGCTTGAGTAGTGCTAATTCATTGAGCTATAACTGTAGTAGCAAAGCCAGTCCGAAAGGGAAAGAAGTTTTGGTGGAAGATATTGTTGGTTCATATGATCCAGAGTTTTCTAGTGTTGAGCATAGTAAAGAGCTTGGTGTGGATGACGCCGGAGAGGGAAAACAATGGGGGAAAGATTGGTGGTGGAAACAGGATGATAGTAGTGAAGTGTGCAGCAAAGATTATGTTAATGAATGGATTGGCACCCAAGTTTGTGGTTCAACGAATCGGGATTGGGAGAGTAGTATGAGCTCGCCAATGGAATTCAACCTAGGCTATTCACCTCAGCTGGATAAATTAGAAGAAGAGAAGGAAGAACTTGGTTGCCCTGATGAAAAGGGGTTTGAGCCAAAGGACAAAAGCATTCAGAAGAACAAACCTAGGAAAATGCAAGATTGGTGGAGACAGGAGAAACTTGATGAATTGAGCAAAAAAGGAAGTAAGCGAAAGAGTCTTGAAAGCAAGATGCGGAAAAGAATCAGAGTGCCACATTTTGGCTTAGGTCGACAATTTTGCATCTTCAACAGAAGAAGTTTAAAGGAACATAACCAGGAAGATAACAGCCTAAAACACGAGTTTAGTTTCAAGAAGGTTTGGAAGAAAAAACATACACGTTCGATGGGAAGTGAGTTGAGTGGAGAATTATTCAGTAGGGAGTTGAGCAGTACAACTAGTATGAGAGGCACTTTATGCTATATAGCCCCAGAATATGGAGGATGTGGTTACTTGATGGAGAAGGGTGATATATACAGCTTAGGTGTTCTTGTGCTAGTGATAATTTCTGGTAGAAGGCCATTGCATGTTTTGAATTCACCTATGGAGTTTGAGAAAGCGAACTTGGTAAGTTGGTGTAGGCATTTAGCTCAAGTTGGAAATGTTTTAGAGCTTGTAGACGAGAGACTGAAAGATGCATACAATAAGGAGCAGGTGACATTGTGTATTAATTTGGCCTTGGCATGTTTGCAAAGATTGCCAGAACTGCGTCCAGAAATTGGAGATATTGTTAGGATTTTGGGAGGAGAAATGGATCTCCCGCCATTACCATTTGAGTTTTCTCCCTCCCCACCTTCTAAATTTTACAGCAGGTCGAGGAGAAGACAATCAGAGTAACCTCTTTATCTTAATTCATCATGTATTTATCTGCATGTAAAATAAAAAGGTGAATGAACCATCAGTAGAAGGAAATGGCTTGCTGATGGAAATAATTCCTTTGTATTGAATACTGAATAATGTAAGCTTGATTAGCTGTACATTTTAGTGTCATTTTCCCTTTCAGCTTAGAGAAATTGTACATGCAAAGCTAAAAACATGGTTTTCGATTTTCCTTGATTTGGTGCCATTGTGCCAAGAATCTTGAACTCGGAATTGGAAAGGCTTCCATGTTTCATATGCAGTTGCCATAGCTCCAAACTGGAAATCTTCAACTGTATTCACAAAAAAATACTTGAAATGTTGACCTGAATTCCTTTACAAGCATAACAGATTGCTACTGTGCCATAGATACCTCTGTTGCAGCTTAAGTTATGTTTTCTGGAATATTTTTTTGCTCATATGAGTACTTATTTAGTACCCCTGTATTCCAGGGACGGGTATAGATCCCAACTTTTGGCAACTCAAAAACTTACCTCAGTTTCAGAACTACATCCGTACATCCCTAATTGGTATATGTTACATTAGTTTTGGGCATCCCTGATTGGTGTACGTTAACGTAGATCAAGGATGGAGGGAGTATTGAGTTATTGACAATACTTTGGTATGGCGTTCAGATTCCTACATAAGCGGCGATATGTCATTCTCCAAGTCTTTTGGTACTGCACGTATTACCCACCCTTGTTCAAACAATGGTATGTACAATTTTAAAACTTGTTCATATTTGTAATAATAGAAGAATCATCTAGTCTTGATTGTTCTTTCATCACAGGTTTCAGGCAGATTGCAATAATTTTGCTGCGAGTGTCAGAGATTAAATGTGGGAGGAATCTCAGTGACAAACTGGCAGGTGTGAAACTCTGAGTTTACCAGAAATGATGTTTGACTGTTGAATACCAATTGCCATATCATATGAAGCATTATTGTTTCTTGGATTGTATAGTTTTTTACAGTTGGAATAAAATAATTGAATACTTGTCTGCTAGTTCTGGATTAATTTACCCTTTACTGTACTTTGCAATTTGCATGATGCCCATGTTTTAAAAAGCGGGTGAATTATTCTTTGAAATTGAAATTTAATTTGATCTTATTTCCCCTTTAATCTTCTTTATTGGATCTTAATGAGTCTGATCAGCTCAGATGTGGTTGATTGTAGCTTTTATGAAATTTAAGACCATCTTCAGGAGTTGTGTTTCTTGGTACTTGGTAGGCGTGTAAAATGAAGTCTCTTGGTGTTTATGCATTTAAGAGGAAACAAATGCAGCTAGGATTTAGAGTATAAACCACAAATTAACATTACAAATGCACGTAATGTTAATAATCATAGAGTAGTCCACATCTATATTACTCAGACTTGACTAGAAGTGTTAGATATGAGTACGTGTCTAAGTGTATAAAACAACCATTTATGTAATTTTTGCCTAATTTTTGTCCATATGAAATGTATTCAATGAGTGTCATACCATTGTCTGGGTGTGGAGTATATCCGTTAAGTTGGAGTGGAATAGGTCTACACTTGGAGGTGTAGAACGGGATAGTTTGGGTTGGATTTAGTCTGGGTCAGGTCATGTACGATCTGATCATTTTTGGCTGTATTGTCTATTAGCTAATTATGATAATTGATTCCACATTAATAGGCTACATTAATTCTGCTTTAATTCGAGTTAGGTCGGGTAATATAGGTGCATTTGCCAGCTCAAGTCAGTACACAAAGTCCACCAAGGCATTGAAGGTTGAGTTATTATTCTTAGTTTGCTTCTTTGAGTGTAGTTTGTGGAGGATTCATGTTTGGTTCTGCATCTGTAAACTCCTCGTTGATCGAATAACACTGGAGAACATAAATCTGTCCCTACTGAAACAGGTCCAAATTAGTAAGACTGGACCACAAATTTGCATGTTTTAATATGACAAGTAGAAACAGAATAAGTGGAAAGTGGTAGGTTAGATCAAATTGAAGACAGAATTTGACATTGCAGATTTGGTGTTGCAAGTTTGAGATGAAATTCTAAGTCCTGCACTCATGTGTCCGTTTTGTGGTTGAATTACTTCATGATAAAGTGGTCGTGTAGCTTTCAGGATAGAACCTATACTTCATTTCTGTTTCAGATGTGCTCACCTATGAAAACAAGTTCTTTGTGTGTCAGCATCACGAGGAACATGAAGGATCAACAATTAAAAATAGTGGTTTTTGAGCACAATAACAACCTATGTTACTCAGACTCGGGTACTCGTGTCGAACATGGGTATGCGTTCAAGTGTCTGACTTGACTGTTTTTTTTTAAAACAATCCCTTGATTTTGGCTTGAATTGAAGTGTCCTTATTGATGTCTGAATGTCGAGAATCTAGTCTTTGGGGTAAAATGAAGAGGGTGAGTAACGTACAAAATAAGCCCAATATAGCCTCACTTGCTTGATCGGTCAACAACATGATCTTCTCTGAGTCTATTAAGCCTTACACATGGACTAATCTACTAGAGCACCTAGCCTATGACCAATCAGGTTTCGGTTCAGCCGTGGCCAGAACTGACCTGCAACCTGGAGTGAAATTGAAGCCATTACACTACCACATTACATGCCTGATTTATGTAGGCTTGGTCTGGTTGGAGCCCAGCCTGAACTTGGCCTAGACTAGCCCATTGGTCTCGGAGAAACAATGAAATGTTTCTGACCCTTGGAAGAACATACAGAAGGATGACATAAAGTCGTTTACAATTTAGCCTCTTTTCTGTGCTTGCCTCAGCCCTAAATTATATCCAACACTCTAAGCACCATTCAATACTGCCAATAAGTATGCCTTTGTTAAAATGCAAAAGCTTATGTGAAATAATATGACATGTAAAAGCTCTTTCTATATTCCATATTTCCCATCAGCATCCCTCAGAAACTGCTGTTATACTGCTAATAATGATACTTCTTCTGACAGAGAATCTGTGTCATATACGAAGGAATGCTATTTGCTAAACCTATCTTCTACTTCCTTTGCTCTAAATTAATTCACTTTGATAGTGTAATCTAAATTACTAAAGTTACAATTAGTTTTGAACAAAAGGAGTACATATCGTGGTATATGGACAATGATATGATATTTGTAAGTTGTGTTTACAGTCAAATCAAAATTATCAATGTGTTAATTATGATTGATTTCATAAGATTGGTGTTACCAGCTCTACTCTGAAGTTTTCATAGCACACCAAGCACAGCATTAGTTGTACTTGCAGGTAAATGGTAATTTTGGCAAATATCATATACTTGAGCAATTAAGCATGTTAGCTAGACTTCATACAAAAATTCGTCGCAAAGTATGGCTCTCGGGGCTATTAACTTCATCAGTTCATCGTTTCCTATTTGGTTCAGGCCCTCAGCAGTGAAAATCTAGTCGGTTCTTGTTTCACAGACTCATATTGTCCAGCAGATCATAGCCGCCTCGAAGTTTTTTCCAGCTTCGCTACAAATCTGATTATGTCTTATATCCTATTCCTTATGGCCAACAGGCCGAGGATCTTGTCTATTTTCTTCATCTTACCAAGGATCCTGCGAGAATCAATAAGGTTCCTCCCACCCTCGAAAACAGACAATCATGTTTGTAGTCACACTGCATCTAGTTTAATGTATGCAGTATAACAATTACAGATTACATAACAGAATTTCCACTTAATCTTGTATGAGTGTATGATGGCTGTCATATGCAGGCGTGAGTGATCAAGAATCAGACTCGTACAAATTTCGGATTTATTTATTTTTTGTAGGAGAAATTATGCAATATTTTCTTTATAAATTAAGGCAAGTGTGAATGTAAATTATACATTCAAATTTGGAATTATTGCTGTTGAGATATGGTTATATTCTGGCTAGAATTTTAGAAGTTTGTTTGGTAAATAAGTTAATTTCATAATTGCAAGAAACTTCCAAATTCTAATTCCTCTAGATGGTCCAATTAGTCTTGGAGACCAAGGCATCAATCTAAGACTATTCTATCTTCGGTTACCCATGGTTTTCTACATGTATAAATTATGTAAACCCCTTCATAAGATATTAAATTACATAACAAATAATCACATTGTAATTAAGTACTTTGCATCAAATTACATAATTAATGGCTGGCCCTGGTTTGTACTACTTCTTTCCCACTGATTACTTCGTCCCTCCTTTATACTCTACCATAGATGATCAAATCACTAGCCTTCCTACGCCAAAGATTCAAGTCAAGAGCAAACCTGTTGATCCTCGTGACAATGATCGTGATCGTGATCATGATGATCGAAAGCTATTGATGAACAAGAAGAGCAAGAGTATGTTAACGATCAAGACTAGTGCAAAACCGAGAGAGATTAAGCCTGTTCATAAGCATGCTATGTTTTAAATCAAGCAATTTTGTCTCCTAATTTATAGGGGAGTCATATTATTGTCCTTTTTCTTTGATTTCAATAATGAAAATCTTGTTACTGAGTACCTAAAATTTATTTTTCTGGCCTGTTGTTTTTAGTACTTTAATGTTTTTTTTTGGGGTATTTAGAGAATCACAAGGACGGGTGTGATGAGAATCGATCCCTGAAACGAGAGTTAATAGTTTAATGTTTATTTCTTAGTTCCAATGTACAATAATTAGGGTTCTAGTGGTTTGCTTACATATGCTCCAAGTCTAGAGCTACCGCATTATACATTGTAAATTTTGTACTATGTACTAGTTCAATAGGTTATCTTCAATAAAGTCAATTAAAGAACCATATAATTTGAAGAAAACATTGACTCTTCTAATCTAATTATTACTTTAATAATACTCCTAATATAGTCATATAGATATAGATTTTCATTGGTTTTCAGTATGTATACAAAGTTTAAATTATTAAAAAATTTGTCTCACTATGCTAAGCAAAAATCAAACTTATTATTATTATTATTTTTTTTTTATATTTAACCAGTATAATTAGCTTATTCATTAAAAAAATGTAATATGAGAACTATTTAAATTAAATTAAAGATCATTGTGATCGAGCTTAATTATAAGCAATTCTCTTCATAAATTTAGTTATATATCAAGTGTATGGTACAAGTACAACTAAAGTTAATTTTGCCTATATGTTCGTACTTACAAAGTACCTTATATAGTGTACAATCAATTGTGAAATGCCGAATGAATCTGATATTTTTCTTACCAACTTAACAAATTAAATGTCCTTCACTCGTTCTCATGCATGCATACACAGTCATAGCACTATGAAAATTGGGCTAAAAGTTGAGATAATCTTCAAGAAGTAGATTGCCGCAATTAGAGTGGTGTCACTACTCGGGCCAACCTTCACCAAACACCTAAAAAAGAAGTGTGTTTAGAAACCACTTCTTGTTAATCATAGGTCATAAACTCATAATAGTGCCTAATTTTTTATTTTTTTTCAAATTTTTTTTAATTTTTTTTTAAAAATAAGGTAGATGCATGCGCATGCAAAATATGCAATGTGTGTGGTGATGGTGCACACCACGTATGAGAAGAAGGGTCTAGTGATAGACCGTCAACTTTGGATGATATTGATAAGTTGACTTTTTATTCTTTTTCTAAAGTTAAATTTAATTTAATTTGGCTTTTCGTTTTCTAATAAAGCCATCATATATATATATATATATATATATACGGGGAGGTTCCGCTAAAAACAGAGCTTATGGTGAAAACTAAAAACAAGCAATCTTAGCCATTGAAAGTTCACTAGATGATCTGATGGTGTGAAACAACCCAGAGGTCACTATATATAAAAATAAGGTAATTATATCAAGTTATATTAATTTTGATGACATTTACACCGAGGCCACTATATATAGAAATAAGGTAACTATATCAGTTTTTACAATATTTACTTAGAGGTCACTATATACAAAAATAGGGTAATTATATCAATTTTGACCACATTTACATAAAGGTCACTATATACAAAAATAAGGTAACTATATCAATTTTGACCACATTTATACAAAGCCACTATATATAAAAATAACGAAGGTCACTATATATAAAAATAAGGTAATTATATCAATTTTGACAACATTGACCACATTTATATAGAAGTCGCTATTTACAAAAATAAGGTAACTATCATCAGAT